TAACATGGGCTAAAGCATCCTACTGCTCCAGCTCCGGGAAGAGAGAAACCAGGGCTCTTGACAGCTGAGTCCCAGCACTTGTTTGGAGCAGCTGGGGGAGGCTGTTCCTCAGCAGAAAGACAACCACTCCATGAATACCTACTATGTGCCAGCCCCTGGGCCAAGCAGGTCACATGAACCCTCCCACAGCATCCTTCCCATAGAAAGGCAGGTCCTGCTTTATCCCCATTGGACAGAGGAAGAGACTGAGGTTCAGGCAGGCTAAGCAAGTTGCCCAAGATCATAGGGCAGAGCTGGGATCTACACCCAGGTCACTGTGTCTTCCAGGCCTGGGTCACTCTTATCCCAACGAGGGCTCAGAAGTGACCATAACCAGTCAGCAGGAGTGGATGCTGGCCTCCCTGCCCTCACTCCTTCCTGCCTGGGGATATAGCAGTCCTTTCATGGGTAGCTGAGGTTGGGAGTGCCTGGTGTGCAAGACCCAGGCCTGCTCCCTTCTCTACGAACAGTCTCAGGTCACCCTGTCTTCTCAATCACTGAAACTGGATCATTGCTGCTATAGGCATGTGCCTCCATACCCCAGCCTCAGTTCCTGCAACACCCTGAATCCTCTACCTCCACCATGCACAAAGGCCAGCTCACTTGTTAAACCATGTGGTACAAGATTAGGAAGAGCCAGACCCTCAGTGCTTCCTGTCTCAGTAAGTGGCAACTCCGTCTACACATGTGCACAAGCCAGAGAGTGAGGAGGCCTCCTTACTGCCTCTCCCCACCATACCCAAAACCTCACAATGGGGGAGATAGCTGCTGGCCTGCCCCTTCTTCTGTAACATGGCCACTCAGAATTGAGACATGAGTGGCTGGGTATGGCCACTCAGAATTGAGACAATGTTTCCCAGCCTCCCTTGCCGCTTAGATGTGGCCAGGTGATTATATTCTGGAAAATGGGATATGAGCAAAAGTGATGTGTGCAACTTCCCAGTTGTGCCCTTAAGGGGAAGGCAGGTCCTCCTCCTCAACTACCTTCCATTCTCCCTCTTGCCACTAGTCAGAGTGCAGGACACGGTGTGATCTATTTGGACCATAAGAACAAGGGCACAAGTGAAGGAATGGCAGAGCAGGAAGACAGAAGGAGCCTGGATCTCTAATGCCTCAAAATAGCCAAACCCGAACCAGAATACCTTTACAAAAATTGTACGTAAAGGGAAAATAGGATTCTTTCTTGTTTAAACCAGTTACTTTGCATGTCTGAAGTGGCAGCACAATCTAAATGCCAACAAATAGAATCACGAGGTTCTGTGTATTTTACCTTTGAATTATAACGCAATTCATTTACTTCTTTCAAATCTCCACTGACCTCACCCCCAAGAAAGGCAGGGCCTACCTCAGGTCCCTCACTTTCTGAACTCCAGCCTCGACGGCCTTCTCTCAGTTACTTGGATGTATCATGCTTGTTCCTACTACACGGCCGTAACGCATGCTGCTGCCTAGAACACTTGTCCCTCCTCTCTTCACCTAATCACCTCCCACTTTTCCTTCATATCTCAGCATGACCACCACCTCCTCTGAGGAACCTTCAGTGACTGTCCTGACTAGGGCAGGGCCCCTATTAGGCATCCCCTAGCACCATGAACTCTTGTATAAATGTTTAATCACAGTTATGATTAAAAATCCCATGAGGTCGGCAAAAATTTCTTGGACATAAACATGAGCGACTTCATGAACATATCTCCCCGGGCAAGGGAAACAAAAGCAAAAATGAACAAGTGGGACTACATCAAGCTGAAAAGCTTCTGTAGAGCAAAGGATACCATCAATAGAACAAAAAGACATCCTACAGTATGGGAGAATATATTCATTAATGACATATCTGATAAAGGGTTGACATCCAAAATATATAAAGAGCCCATGCACCTCAACAAACAAAAAATCAAATAATCCAATTAAAAAATAGGCACAGGATCTGAAGACACTTCTCCAAAGAAGAAATTCAGATGGCCAACAGACACATGAAAAGATGCTCCACATCACTAATCATCAGAGAAATGCAAATTAAAACCACAATGAGATATCACCTCACACCAGTCAGGATGGCCACTATCCAAACATGGAATAGTTTGGATACAACAGCACATGCAGGCGAGGATGTGGAGAAAGGGGAACCCTCCTAACACTGCTGGGGGGAATGTAAATTAGTTCAGACATTGTGGAAAGCAGTATGGAGGTTCCTCAAAAAGCTCAAAATAGAAATATCATTTGACCCCGGAATTCCACTTCAAGGAATGTACCCTAAGAATGCAGCAGCCCAGTTTGGAAAGGCCCCTAAGAGGAGGGACCCCTTTGTTTATTGCTGCACTATTTACAATAGCCGAGAAATGGAAGAAACCTCAGTATCCAGCAATAGATGAATAGACAAAGTAGAGGTGGTACATATATACAATGGAATATTATTCATTCAGCCATAAAAAGAAAACAAATCCTACCATTTTCGTCAACATGGATGGAGCTGGAGGGTATTATGCTCAGTGAAATAAGCCAGGCGGAGAAAGACAAGTACCAAATGATTTCATTCATCTGTGGAGTATGAATACAAAGCAAAAATGGAAAAAACAAATCGGCAGCAGACTCATAGAACCGAAGAATGGATGAACAGTTCCGAGGGGGACAGGGACTGGGATGGGTGGGTGGGAATGGAGGAATAAGTAGATTAAGGGGCATTATGATTAACACCCGTAATACAGGGGGTGCACGGGGGAAGGAAGTGTAGCACAGAGAGGACAAGTATTGACGCTACAGCATCTTACTATGCTGATGGGACAGTGACTGCAATGGGGTTATGTGGTGGAGACTTGATAAATAAGATGTGGTACATATATACAATGAAATAAGTCAGGTGGAGAAAGACAAGTACCAAACAGGTCACTTGAAGAAAAACCATGATAAATTAAAGGTGTATAGTATAAACCTTAAAGCACCCCTTACAATAACGGTGTCATAGCCAACGACCCAACAAAGGTTACAAAATGGAATCACAGAAATGCAGTGCACTGAAAGGAAGGAAGACAGAGAACAAAAAGGAAACAAAGAAGATGGGACAGACAGCAAAGACAACAGACCACAAGCTACCCACTTACACCAATAATTGTGTCACATGGAAGTGGTCTCAACACCCCAGTTAACAGGCACAAATGGTCAGACTGGATAAAAAGGTAGGACCCAATCACATGCTGTCTACAAGAAAATCACTTAAAATAGAAAGATGCAAACTTAAAAGTAAAAGGATGGAATAAGATTCAGCATACCCAAAGAAGTCTGGGGAGGCTCTATAAATGTCAGAGAAAGTCCATGTCAGAATACTAACAGACACAAAATGGGCCATTTCTGAACGACAAAGTGGTTAATTAACCAAGAGATACAACAGTCTTCAGTGTTTACATACCTAACCATAAACATGAATCAAAAAACCGGAGGAACTGCAAGGCAAAATACGCAAACCACAACTTGGATCACAGTGTTTCGGTGTCTGGAAAAATCACATGCACCAAGTTTTCCTTAGGCAGCAGGCCCTTGGCTTACATAGGCACCAAGAAGAAGCCACACACTGCAATGAATTCGGGGTTGTCATTAGGAAAGCTGTCCACAATTGTGTGCTGAATGCAATAAGCCGCATACATGCACACACCACTTTTGTAGCATTCCACTTAAATGAGGGACCCAGAAGAGCCAAAGCCATAGAGACAGAGGGGAGGATGGTGGGTGCCAGGGACCGGAAGGGAGACTAGACTGGGCAGGTGTTCTTTAACGGGTGCACAGTGTCAATTAGGAGATGGGAAAGTAGGGGGCGGCTACAAAATTTTTCAAAGTGCTCATTGCTGCAGAACTATCCCCTCAAAAATGGCTCAAGTGGTAAATTTTATGTTATTTTACCACAGTAAATATTGAAAAAGAAAAACGAGACTCAGATGACCGGGTGAAAAGCAGAGGCCTGTAGCTTAGGAGGAGCCGCCTGGCTTACGGCAGGCCTTCAAGTGGCTGATGTCCGGGCTGTGTCTGTGCCCCCGTGCACCCCCACCTTCACAAAACATCCCCCTGTGTCCTGAACTGGACGTTTTCCCACTAAGTCTTTTTGTGCATGTGACATTTTACTCATAGGATACACAAAAGATGGTGACATTTCTGGCTCCAGCTGATACACACGATCAGAAGTTTCATACAGAGAATAGACTTTCTTCATTGGAACTGAGGGGCAGACTCTGGGAAATTCATAGACTTGCTGAAATTGTAGGCACTATTTGAAGTGGGCGTGAGCACGGATACCACAGTCTCTGATTCCAGGTCCTCAAAATGTTCTCTTGGGCTCAAAGGTGCCTGAGGGGTGAGGATGCGTCCCCTGAACCTAGTGTCAGTGAACACTGAGCACAAGAGCTCTGTTCTGCCAAGTATTTTAAAGTTAACTTTCCCTTGAGTCCAAGTCAATGTACCTGGGATCTTTCTTACATACCTACGTCACTCTTGTAGGGCTGACTGTTTCTGCTTACCCTGAACTTCCTAGCCACTCACTAGACATGCTCTGTAGGAGAACATGACAGAGGGCGAGAGTCCACCCGTGTGTCAAGTGGAGAGTGGAGAGGACACGTCATCTGTGGGGGAGGGCTGAAAGGTGACCTGGACGGCTCGAGGATCATCTTGGGGGGTGGTCAGACCATGGGCCAGTGGCAGGAGACACTGTTTGCCCCTGTTCGGATTGGACTGGCAGTTGCCTGCTTTTCCTTCAAACTGGTTGCTAGGTTGCAGCAACCTATGACCTCACGAGGGTTCCAACCCTCCTGGTTGGCAGGTGCTTGGCAGCACAGGTAGCCAGAAGCATCTTCGCAGAGCTTTTTCCACTCCTAGCGTCTCCTCAGCTGGAGTAGGGATAACGGGCTCACGTTCAGTGAGAATCCACAGAAGGAGTTTGGACAGGGTCTGGTCCCAGAGAAGGCAGGAGTTGGGGACAAATCATGGCCAGTGTTTCATCGAGTTCCCAGGCCGTGAGCCAGAGTCCCCAGCCCGGCCCCTCCGGGAACCCGCCGGAGGTGATGCTGGGGGCAGAAAGACCAGGGCCGCCAGGTGAGGCAGCGGAGGCACGAGGGGCTTGAGGAGGGGGTGCCGACGGCAGGAAGGCCTACCCAGGGGGGGCTTGTGCGCAGGAAGGAGAGACTCAGAATGCCAGGGACTGGAGGGTGAGGCTGTAGGCGTGGGGACAAGGGCGCACACGGGGAAGGGCAGGCACCTGGAGGAGTTATCTAAATGAGGGAGAGTGCTGAGAACGGGGAGATGGAACAATGGCAAAGTGGATGGGGGGCAGAAGGCTGCCAGCAAAGGACAAGGTTGGAGAGATGGCTGGGGACAAGGCCACGGTCTGCGACAGCAGAGGCGCTGGGGGCAGCTTGTCTTTTGGGGGTACTTGGAGTGGTGTGGGAGGGGACACGGGGACCGAGGGATGATCCCAAAGACAACAGCTGGACGCTGTCGCCTGGTTTCTTTACCCAGCAGCCCAGGCACACAGCAGCCCTCTGCCAGAGGGCTGCGGCCGGCACGGGAAGCGGCAGAGGGCGGCCACTCGCCAGGAGGAGTCGGAGGAGGAGGCAGCCCCGGGCAAGGCGGAAGCCTGGGTCGTGGTCAGGCTGTGTGGCCTCAAGATGAGGCTGAAGCAACGGCGGGTGTCCCCGGTGCTGCCCAAGCACCACGAGGCCTTCAAAAGGCTGCCTGGTAGGGGGAACCCTGAGCCCATTCCCCTTGAGAGAAACTTCCAGCGACTATACTTTTGTAATGGAAAAGAATTCTCTGCCGGTTGGTGACCTCTCTGCTCCCAGAGGACTCCTCCGGGGTCACTTAGAAATGGCTGCCAGTAAAGGAGAAGGATGGAGAGATGGCTGGGGAGAAGGCCGCGGTCTGCAACAGCAGAGACACTGGGGACAGCTTGTCTTTTGGGGGTACTTGGAGTGGAGTGGGAGGGGACACAGGGACCGAGGGATGATCCCAAAGACAACAGCTGGACGCTGTCGCCTGGTTTCTTTGCCCGGCAGCCCAGGCACACAGCAGCCCAATGCCAGCGGACTCCGGCCGGCGCAGGAAGCGGGCGAGGCCGGCTGCTCTCCAGGAGGAGTCGGAGGAGGAGGCAGCCCCGGGCGAGGAGGACGCCTGGGACCCAGACATGCTGCGCGGCCTCAAGATGAGGCTGAAGCGACGGCGGGTGTCCCCGGTGCTGCCCGAGCACCACGAGGCCTTCAAAAGGCTGCTTGGTAGGGGGAACCCTGAGCCCATTCCCCTTGAGAGAAACTTCCAGCGACTATGCTTTTCCAATGGAAAAGAATTCCCTGCCAGTTGGTGACCTCTCTGCTGCCAGAGGACTCCTCCGGGGTCACTTAGAAATGAGGGAGGATTAGGCCAGAGGCAGAAGCAATCTGCACTTGGCACACGAAAGCTCGGCTGCCACTGCACCCCTGAGGCTTTCATATCTAAATGCCCCCGTCAGCGTGCGGGGTGCTGACAGGCCATTGGGCGCGCTGATGTGACTGTCAAGGGAGACGATGCCTTCCTGCACGGTGATGGAGCATCACCTTCTGTAGGATCAGACCTGTGCACATCACCCACGGATTCCTGCCCCCCCACCCAGCCACCAAAGAAGGGTGGCACCATCTTTCTGGCCCAATGAGTGCACCTCGGCCTCCCAACCCCAAAAGGTCCCATCAGGAGGCACGGCTGCTCTCTGCTCAGCCCTGCTCCGGCTGTCCGTCTAACCTGTGCCTCTCTTCCCAGGGGACCGTGTTGTTAAAAGATTCCTGGCCTGGGACAAAAATCTGAGGGTGTCTGACAAGGTAACTTTGCCCACTGACATGTGTTCCCTCTCCAGCATCTACCCTGGGGGGCTGGAGGGATGCCTTCTGAACCCACAGTCTCGCCTCATCTCCAACTCGGTGCCTTGTTCACACTGCCCTTTGGGGGACCTGGAGGCTCCTTTCGAGTGAATGGGCAGCCCTGCCCCCACCCCCACTCCCCTGGGGTCCGCCCCTTTGTCTGCGACGATGGCAAGTCCCTTGTCGCCTCAGCCCTGGGGACTCCCCTTTGTGCCAGCTTATCAAAGACCCTTCTGATAGCAGCTGTCCTAAATACCCGGCGTCCCACCGGCAAAGCCTGCGATCCAGGAGTGCCCTGAAGTCCCTCTCCCCACACGGGCGGGGTCTGCCCCCAGTCTCCCCACCCCTCACCCCTCCGTCCTTCCTCTTCTGGGATGTGACCACTCTCCTGTGGTGTTCTCCTCTCCCTCAGTATCTCCTGGCCATGGTCATAGCGTATTTCAGCCGGGCTGGCCTCCCCCCCAGGCAGTACCAGAGAATTCACTTCTTCGTAGCTCTGTGAGTATTGCTGTCAGTGGCCGGCCGTCCATGTTCAGTCCTCCGGGAGGCGGAGGGAGGGGTGTGGGACTCTGACCTTGCATCTATTTTCCTTTTCACTCCACGTGTACCGTTCACTTTGGTATGTGGACAGGATTTTAACAGAGCGGTTTCTATACTGCTGTCTGTGCAGACAGACAACCCTAACACCACTTAAAACCCTGGAACAAACAAAAGACCACATAAAACCCTCCTAAGAGGAGGGACAGAATGGGCACCACGCTGTCCCCAGGTGGCCAGGCTTGAGACCGCACCGCCTCCGAAGCCTCAGCCGCTCTCCTGCCTGAGTCTACATCGAGTGGACCGTCGTCCTCTGGGTTCCCAGGTGGATGCCACAGTGCAGGCCCTCGTCACGTGACACAGACCGAGCATAGGCACTGCCCACCCGTGCTTCCTACAAGGCCTTAAGCGCCCCAAATCCTCCGAGAACACATTTCTAATGCTCCCCGCCCCTCCTCAGCAATGTCACAGGCTAAGGGGGTTCTAAGCTGAGGCCAGCCTTCTCAGTCTGAACTCAACCGTCCCCACAGTCAGCATCACACTTGCTTATGGTCCTCATATTGCACTGCTTTGTTCCAATGCTCCGTCTGAAATCCCTTCCCTCTGTTTTCACATTGTGTCTTCTGACTTGCAGGTGTCTTTGACACACATATATTGGAAGAAAACGACCACTCCTTAAAGTCGGTGCAAAGAGCACGACTGTTACCACGCCTCCCCTGGCCCCCTAACTGCGGTCCCCCAGTAGCACATCAGCTCACATCCTAGTGCCATGTCACGTTCTGGGTAATAGTGACTTCCTATCTCCCCCCTCCCCTTCTCCAAACCATCAGACCAGACACTGTTGCAGGCAGGTCTTGTCAAAATATCCACATGTTCACAAAGCCCTCAGCACGCTACTTTGTGTCACAAACGTTTAAGTTACACTGAGTCCATGAGGCGATCAGTATGGCATTTGACTGTGAGATAAAAGCATCCATCCACCCACCCATCCATTCAGTGAAATCTTGTAGACTGCATTCCGTGCCAGGGACTAGAAGGGCTGGAAGGAGGGCCTTGAGGAGGGCACATGGCACCCATCCTCCAGCCTGAGCCCCGTGGGAGGGAAGCTACGACTACAGAAACCGACAGTCAGTTCCTGCCCTCTGGACGCGCGGACGTCCTCACTCCGCAGGGAGCCGCAGGGTGTGCACATACAACCGGTTTAAAGGGCACAGGGAAGATGATGGGGACATTGCATGGAAGCTGCTCTGCTCACCTTCAGGCCTCCCCGAGGGCCTCTGTCTTCAGCATACAGGTGTGAGAGGTGCCCTTCAGGTCCCTGCCCCGCAGTGGCTTCTTGATGACTGGGTGGCCCCGTGTGACGCTGGTAGGGCTCCCGCAGGTCCTTTGTGAAGATCAGCCTGGGCTTCTCCTTGGAAGCTGACCTCGGCTGGGGATCCTTCCCGTCTTGCTGCTGACCAGCAGCCCGATGTCTCTCCCCAGCTACCTGGCCAACGACATGGAGGAGGACGACGAGGGCCCAAAGCAGGCCATCCTTTGGCTCCTCTACAAGAACAACCGTGCCCAGCGTCTCCTCTTCCACCAGCGGCGAGTCCAATTCGCCCAGTCCATGGGCTGGAAGGCCTGGGTCTCCCGGGAAGAGTGTGAGGAGGTGCGTGAGCAGCTGGGATCTGGGGGCGGGGGAGCCGGACGGCAGTGGCAGTGGGGGGGACATGGGATAGTGGGATCTGGAGGCTGGGCGAGGAAGGAGGGGCCACCTGAGGCCAGAGCCACCTGCCTTCCAGATCCAAGCGTTTGACCCAGAGCTCCCGGTGTGGAGGCGAGACCGCAGCCTGCTTGCTGTGTGAGCGCTCCCGGGACCCTGGAGGCTTGGGCTCACCGGCCCGAAAGAAGGGTAGTCTGGATCCTCAGGTGTACACAGAGCACCTCGTTGTATCAACTTAGGAAGTCACCCTTCCAGACACCGACTCTGCTCCCAGCCACAGGCCGAAGACACACGCAGGTATGACCCCTGCACACAACCAGAGGGGAGGGGGTGGTCATCCTGGGTGATCGGGAGGCATACTGCCCGTGACCCAGTCCACTGACTGCTCTACCCCTCTCCGTCCTCTAACACCCATACGGTCTTAGTCCTAGGACAGAAAGTCACAGCCCTCCACTTCAGGGGCTGCCCACGAGAGGAGCCCTGGGTGTACCAAGCATCTTCAGGTATAGGGTCTTTTCCCTGCTGGTAAGAACTCTCGCCTACCAACGGCTCACGTGCAAGTTCTTCTTGCTTGCCACTCATATACATCACTTGCCCAAATAAGCATCAGAGATCTCCACTCAAGGGGGTATCGGAGATGGTGCTATGCTGCTGCAAGTTTGTGACCCCATTTGGCCAGCGGAGGCATCTGTGCCATGCCACTCCCTGACATTTGGGTCCAGTCTCACACCCACCCCACGAAGGGATGGGCGGTTATTACCTTGGTCAGAGCTATTCCGGTGATGGGCTCCATAGCCAACAAGGCGTGATACACAGAAGCCAGTTGCTCCTCTGTTAACGGCTACCAGACCTCTGCTCCTTTCCGTAATTGTGACCGGAATCCAACAGGTTGGCATGTCCACTCAAGACACTGCCAAAGGCCCCATCTATAACCATCTCCATTTACATGAACATCTAGCTCACAGGGCCTTCATGAATCCATTACACTCAAGGACCATAACGGCCTTGAATGCTTGCTTAGTAGCAGGGAACACAGCTGCACAGGTCTCATCACGGTCCCACCTGATGCCCTTTTGTAGCGACTGGTAGGAGGCCTTCAGAATTTGTGCCAAGTGCAGGATAAACACCCTCCAGGAGCCCAAAACACCCAAAGACTCTTGCACGACTGAGTGCCACAGTGGTAGGGAGGTGGGGAAAGCCTGGACCTTGTCTATGACCACGTCTGGGATAACTTTAGATTTACCTGACCGGACAACCCCTAGGAACTTGACACACAAACCAGGTCCCTGAACCATCCCTATCAAAATACCGACAGCATTCTTCAACAAACTCGAACAAATAGCTGTAAAAGTCATATGGAACCACAAAAGACCCTGAATAGCCAAAGCAATCCTAAGAAGGAAGAATAAAGCAGGGGGAGATGAGGGTTATGCTCCCCAACTTCAAGTTCTACTATACAGCCACAGTAATCAAGACAATTTGATACTGGCACAAGAACAGACCTGTAGATCAATGGAACAGAATAGAGGGCGCAGATATAACCCACACATACATGGCCAATTAATATATGATAAAAGAACGATGGACATACAATAGGGAAATGACAGCCTCTTCCTCAGCTGGTGTTGGCAAAACTGGACAGCTACATGAGAGAGAGAGAGAGAAGGAAATGAGATTACAGTCTAACCCCATACACAAAAGTCAACTCGAAATGGATCAAAGACCTGAACGTAAGTCATGAAACCATAAAACTCTTAGAAGTAAATCATAGGCAAAAGTCTCTTGAATGTAAACATGAGCAGCTTTTTCAAGAACGTGACTCCTCGGACAAGGGAAACAAAAGCAAAGATGAACAAGTGGGACTCTATCCAAGTAAAAAGCTTCTGTACAGCAAAGGACACCATCAGTGGAAGAAAAAGGCATCTCTACAGTATGGGAGAATATATTCATAAATGACATATATGATAAGGGGTTGACAGCAAAATATAAAGAGTTCATGCACCTCAACAACCAAAAGGCAAATAACACGACTAAAAAATAGGCAGAGGATCTGAACACACACTTCTCCAAAGAAGAAATTCAGATGGCCAACAGGTCCATGAAAAGATGCTCCACATCGCTAATTATCAGAGAAATGAGAGTTTAAACCACAATGAGATATCACCTCACATGGGTCAGGATGGCCACCATCCAAAAGACAAACAACGACACATGCTGGTGAGGATGTGGAGAAAGGGGAACCCTCCTACACTGCTGGGGGAATTTAAATTTGTTCAACCATTGTGGAAAGCATTATGGAGGTTCCTCAAAAAACTCAACATAGAATTACCATTTAGCCTAGGAATTCCACTCCTAGGAATCTAACCTAAGAATGCAGCAGCCCAGTTTGAAAAAGACATTTGCACCCCTATGTTTATCACAGCACTATTTACAATAGCCAAGATATGGAAGCAACCTAAGTGTCCATCAGTAGATGAATGGATAGAGAAGAGGTGGTACATATACACAATGGAATATTATTCAGCTATAAGAAGAAAATAAATCCTACCATTTGCAACAACAGGATGGAGCTAGAGGGTATTATGCTCAGTGAAATAAGCCAGGCAGGGAAATACAAGTAGCAAATGATTTCACTCATCTGCGAAGTATAAGAACAAAGAAAAAAACTAAAGGAACAAAACAGCAAGCAGACTCACAGAACCCAAGAATGGACTAACAGTTACCTGAGGGAAAGGGACTGGGGAGGATGGGTGGGAAGGGAGGGATAAGGGGGAAAAAGGGGCATTATGATTAGCAGACATAGTATAGGCGGGGGACACAGGGAGGGTGGTACAACACAGAGAAGACAAGAAGTGATTCTACAGCATCTTACTACTCTGATGGACAGTGACTGTGATCGGGTATGTGGGGGGGACTTGATGAGGGGAGCCTAGTAACCATAATGTTACTCATGTAATTGTAGATTAATGATACCAAAAAAAAAAAGAATCCCATCGGGTCCTCTCAAGTCTGCTGTGAACCTAAAATTGGTCTAAAAAAAGGAAATCTTAAGTGAAAAAATTTTTTAGAAAACTCCACGAGGGCATCTAGGAATCTATCCTCAAAATACATTGGTCAAAATACGAAATCATGTACACACAAGGTTTTTTGTTCCAGCCCTTCAAATACTAGCAGAAGATTGGAAACAACCCAAAGCTGTACCAAGAGGGAACTGGCTGAATCAACTGTGAACTGTCACGGAGGACAGCATTGCGCAGCCGCAAACAGGAACAAGGGAATTCTCCCAGCACTGTACAGGAGTGATCTCCCAGATAGGATAAATGATTAAGTGGGAAAAAAAAATCCAAGGAACAGAACTATGTACACCAAGTATGCTGTCTTATTAATATGTACGGGGTGTACATACTTACATTTTCAAAGAGAAACAGTGGAAGAATAAAGCACAAACTAACAGAAATAGTTCCTATGCAGGGAGGGTAGGGGGAGGCAATGAGTGAAGGGGACAAGCATGGAAGTTAAACTTCTCTGAGTGTACCTTGTTTTAGAGTTCTTATTTTGTAAGTATAAACAGTTTACAAAAATTATAAAGCAAAGAGCAAAAAAAGAAAAAAAAGCAACCCCTTAGAATAAAAAAACAAAAACAGAAATCAATAAACCTGACTGAATAACAACTTGGCAACTACACTAAAAAGGATTATGGGGAGTGACTTTAAAACAGCATTTTGATTGTAAATCCTTAATGGGCTCTATCCTAAGGACCACAGAACCACAAAGAAACAGAACCACAAGGAAATCTTCAGTTGTACTCAGTCACCTTATACATAGTCATTATATTGTTATCGCTATGATGAAACTCTTAGCTCTGTAATAAAGGATAAGGAAGAGAAGATTTTCTGTGTAAGGAAAAAGATAAAAAACAAAATCAAAGAAGTCAAATGGAAACCTTAGATTCTTAAATGTGAATGAGAATTAACAGTTTCTCCAGCTTTAGACATAGACACAATGATAACCCAGTTGCCATGAGCACTGCTAATGTCTAGATTTTATGGTCCCTAACTCCCATTTATTACCAAAAGGAACAGGACTCCTGTGGGAAACGGCTGATTCCAAGTAGAAAGCATATAAGATGATCCTGGGACATGTTGTCACAGAGAAACCAAAGAAACTGTCAAACACTACTGAAGTCACATTGAAAGGATGCAGGACACAGAGCAAAGGGCTCCTGTTTACTTGGGCCAGACTGGATCCTAAGCATTACAAGTATTAACTCAGCATTAGTAAAATTACTCAACCTCATTTAATCCTCACAACAAGCCTAGCAGGAGGGTGGAATGATGATGCTCATTTTATAGATGAGAAAACTGAGTCCTGGGAAGATGAAAGAAATTGCCCAATATCACACAGCAGATAGGTGGCTAAGTGAGGACTTGAATCCAGGCCATATCACTCTAGGATCCATGACGCTAGCCTTCTTCTCAGCTGCCTCTTCATTCATGTGGGATGTTCAGCTCAAAGCAGAAAAGGAAAGTAAAGAAAATGGCCCCTTGCCTTGACAGAGGCCAGTCTAGGGGCATGTTTAGAACCACGGACAGCACCCCCAAGCGCTTCCCCCCTCATTAGCTCAGCTGTGACTGTAACCAGGGCACTGAGGCTGACCCCAGTGGGGATGCAGGCCCCCTATCTTGTGCAGCTGCAGACCAAGCCCCTATCATGCCCCGCCTCCCCACTGGCCGCTCCTCGCACCCTCCTGACCCACTCAGAGCCATCTGGGCTGTCTTCATCAGGACCACCACTTAAGAGCAAGGATCGCCATTTAATTCCTCATGGGCACCCAGCCAGGTGGGAATGGGCATTCCCACTGTCCAGATAGGGAAACCGAGGCTCACAGAGGTACTTCACTGCCTATGTTCATGCCACTGGGGAGTGGCTGGTTCTGGCACTTGTGCCCTTGCCCCCTCCCCCTCCCCCTCCCCCCGGGTTGGCTCAGCCTCCTGGGAAGCTGAGCGTGGGGTGCTGCTGGCACATGCTGAGGCCTGAGTCACCCTCACTGTGCGTGAATGTCATCTCCCTGGCTGGCAGGAGCTGGGAGGAGGAGGCTGGGTACAGGAGCTTGAGGAGAAGGCCCTGTTCCCAGCAGTAAAGGGGCCTGCCGTGGGAGCTCCTAATGCAACTCCTGCCCTCTGCATTCGTACAGCCACTGGTCAATTCTGCCTCCAGAATGTTCCTGGAACCTGTTCCCTCTTCATCAGTGCCACCAGCCTGGCCAGGCCACGATCAGCTCTCACCTGGACAGTGGGAAC